AAAAATTACTGTGTGTGTGTGTGTGTATATATATATATATATATATATATATATATATTCATAAATTATAAATATATTATACATTTACATACAAATTATATATATATTTGTATATTTGTATGTATTTATACATATACATTTGTGCAAAAATGCACACAAAATATTAATATTGTACATATAAATGACATAAATTATATGTACAAAAATTATAATTTAGATTTTTTTTTAAATGACCCAGGAAAGAAAAAAGAAAGAAAAGGAAAATAAAAGGAAGAAGAAAAAAAACCTTTACAAAGAATGTGGGTGATAATAACCTGGAGGTTGTGGATGCAAATTGTTCAATGAAAGGTTAAGAGTTCATCGTAAGGTTGGAAGTGTGTGTGAAATGTTTCGAATCCTGTGCACTTGATAGAGTTCAAGCTCATCTGAGGGATGCCAATTAGCCTACTGTGAACTGCTCTGAAGAAAGAATCTTAAATTAGTGATGTATTTCAACCACTTTACATCACGGTTCAATTAGTTAGTTCATTGTACATTCAATTACTTCTCAGAAATCTGCTGTTTCCCTGGCTCGCTTTGCTGGAAATAGCTTTCTTCTACATACACACATGTCTTCTATAAAATGTCTTGTATAAAACTGAGCACAAATATTGTCTTCTATTCTATTTTCCAAATTCAGATTCAGATAGCATTACTGTCAGCTACCTGATTATTGTATGGGGAAAAAAATTAACCAGAACATTCATCAAAATTAAGTAAGTCACATGGGAATAACATGTGGGTGAATAAATGATCATTTTAATTTCTGTTATTCAGTATCATTCTGCTTAAGTCAGCAAATGATTGATAGAGCTAAATATTCATAAGCATGTGAAACTATGAGCCAAGATCATAATTTTGAAAATCTTTTACGGTTCACGGATTCCCCTCTCGTGCTCTAAAGATTTAATTAAAGGAGCACACATCCCAAAGGAGGTGAAGTTAACTCTTATTTCGCTGCACGGTAGGTAGAAACACTATGGACTCAGTCGAAGACCTTTGACGGTTTCCATAGAAACGTCTATTCACTGCAGATGATATTAGGGCTGAATGTTCTCTCCCTCCTGTTGAGCAAAAAAGCACTCACTTAAGGATGCAATTGAAGCTTTGCGCTGCTAAGAAACATGGATCTGTGCTGACATTCCCACTTAATGTAACTACCTCCTGAAGCGACAATTAGCAAGAACTGTCAAGAGATTTTGCATTAAATAGGTAACCTAACTAAATTTGATTTCACACTTGATTTTCAGTATGAGTGTCATTAGGCTTGATCTAACAGCTTGGTGTTAAAAACCCTGAATATTTTAGAGAGTGACTGGAGTCTCAGACAAAGGGGTGCATGGAAAAAATACATAAACTACCATTTAAAACTTTGCGGTCAGTAAATTTTTTTAATTTTTTTTTTACTTTTGTTTAGCAAGAATGCATTAAAGTTATCAATACTGACCGTAAAGACATTCATAATATTACAATAGATTTTTATTTTAAGTAAATGCTGTTCTTTTGAACTTTCTATAAAAAAAATTAAATGACTACTGAAAATTCAGCTTTGCATCACAGGAATTGATTAAATTGTAATAATATTCACAATATTACTGTTTTTTTACTGTATTTATGATCAAACAAATGAGCAAGAGAAAGACTTCTTACCAACCCCAAACTTTTGAATGGTGCAAATATATATACTAAAAAAATTAAATAAATTAAAAGTTACTGAATATATACAGTATATTCACTAAATAAATATATAAACAATATGTTATTAATAATTACATTTATCAATATTAATGTTGTTCAAATAAGTCACAATTTACTGAATTTGACTGGATGGAAATAATTAAATCACAGTTTTATCTCTTTTTTTCTAGGTTTATACATCTAAAAGAACTGTGGTTCCCATTCAGTCAGTCACGTTCTACGTTACGTCAGTGACTGACGAATTGGGATCTCGCCCGAGAGCCCAATCACCTTCGAGTGTTAACTAAACAAGCCAATGACAGTTGGCGTGCGTGTTTCGCCACGCGCACCCCGCCCCGCAGCGCAGGTATAAAAGGAGAGCGCGTGCAAACGCACATCAGCTTTTCGCTTCGGAGCCGAGCCTTCTTCAGGACGAATCTCCGCGAGTGTTCGAGAGAAACAGCTGGCGTTGGTGTGACGGCGTATCAGCAGGGGTTGCCATTCAGGCTGCTGAAATCTCGGCGTGGTGCAGCTCTCATTCTGTGGTCTTGCCGCGACCTCCCCTGGGCGCTTCAGGGAACGAGGGTTACACAAGTAACCTAGACGTTTCCTTGTTCATAACACTTTTTAGTACTTCTTGTCAGTGAACAAAATCTTTCCATGAAAAAATCTTAATCTGTTATATTACATGCTGGTTTACTTATGAACTTCTCAGTCACAAAAACACATCTTGAGAACATTATTTCAAACAATCACCACTTCCTGTGCAGTTTATGATCCTGGCTGCAAAATAATAATTTTTGCTAGACTTTACCAATTATGTGTAGTTTGAAAAAGTAGCACAAAAGCGTCATAGTGTTGTACTACTTGTTTTGATCTTTTTTGTCCTTGTAAGGCCTACTCCACCTGTATTTATTATGTCTGGTTTCTGTATTCCCTCATTCACCCTCACTCACTGTCTTTTCATTAGTGATGTCCTTCTTCGTGGCCTTTATATAGTCGCTCCGTCCTTTCAGATGCTCATCGTATTCCTCCGGCGTCATGTCTCCATCTTCGATGAGAACGTGTGGCAGATGGGGCTCTACACAAAGAAAAGAAGAATTACTATCTCTGTACAGCATTAAAACCTCTCCGTGTGGAGGCACAACAGTGAATTATGACAGCAGACAATGAGATGCATTACTGCCAGACATGAAGGACTCCTACGGTGGCGGTATTTCTTAAAAACAGCAGCTGTATTAGACACAGTTGGCACCATCAATATGGCTGAACGTTTTCCCCTTTGACTCGGCTCCCTTATCAATTCAATTGCACAATACTGGCCTCGGGTCACCTGCAGAGTGAGGCAATCTTATGCGGCAGCTTATGAGGCATCGAGGGATTCATTTATGCCTCTCAGACGCCGGTGGAGGTCGAGGTGCATGATGGGGTGGCTGAAGAAATATAGAGCTCAACTAAACAGTGCTTATAGAGCGAGAAATTATGTTATATGGCTTTGGACCTGGGAATGATGTTTTAATAGCCTATGATTTAATAAAGCGCCTTTGTTTGGACAAGCTTTCAGGCACATGGAGAGATTAGCACTGACTTGTTCTGAAAGGCCGACTCTATTGTCCAGTTAGCACAGGTCAGATTGGCTGTGATCTTGTTTGTCTGTCCATGTGGGGACCAAATGGCCTGACAAAAAAAACAGCATTGTTGGGAAGATCCACAAAGAAAACGACGTTTCACAATCTTTTTCGAGGCAGCATAAATGCAAGCCAATAACTGGTGTTCACTATATTTTCAACAACATTATCCTAAACAAATTAAACATACATATTTAATTGTATTTATTTATTTTTGCATATTTACTGCATGTCATATGAACAACCACCCTTACGAAAAAGAAGTTTATTCAAGTGTGCTATTAGTATACTTCTTTTAAACAAAAAAATAGGAAAGTATACTTTTAGTCTACTTTTTATGTACTTCTCAGAAATGGGCTTTATGTACTTCTCAGAAATATACTTAAAATGACATTTAAGTATACTTGACTTATAGCCTACTTAGAAAAAGTCTAAATATATTTGAGCTATACTTGTGTTCCTAGAATCCGTGTTTTCATTGTTATACTGTAGGGCGCGCACATCTTCTGTACAGAATTTCCGAAAACACAAGTAAAGAAGAAACCGAAACAACAGATGCTTCCACATGTAATCTAACACGATCATCAGACATAAAACAGCATCAAAACTGTGTAAAGTTGATGTAATATCGACCCATGAAGAGGTAATAATGACTGTCAAGCTTTGGGATGTTGATCGACTCTATCTACGTTTTGATTATCGTTCTGAATCCAATTCATAGTCTTTTTTTCAGCTTTTTGTTCAAAATAAAAATTCTTTTTTTATTATTGTTTATGAAACTTACCCACATTCAAGTGTTTAAAAAAAGAATGCATGAAGCTAGAATAAAATGTTTTTGTTAACAAGCAGATACCCTGTTCTTTCTTTTGGTGTTTTGTAAGATCAGATATTTATATAACAAAATATATACAAATTAATCTTTTATATACTAGAAAGTGGGCCAATTTAGTCCCAAGAAGTATTGAAATAGTACACTTACAAGTATACTACTAGTACACTGATATTTGTATACTTGCTACATAAAGTATACTTAAAAATATACTTGAACTTTACTTAAGTATACTTAATAAAATAAACTTGAAGTATACTACTTTTTGGTAAGGGCAGTCAGTAACTACTCTGATTTAATTCTCAAAGTTAGCTGTAAACTTTTTGTTTTACTTACACTTTTGATTCACTAAAAGAACCAGCTCATAAGAGTCATTCATTCAGGAACCACACTACACTGGTTGCGCTGTCTGTTTCTGATTCACTAAAAACAACCAACTCAGATTCTATTGTTTATGAATGAGACTACTGTAGTTGCACTGTACTGTCTTCACTATGATTCCCTAAAAGAACTGGATCATAAGAGTCATTTGTTCGGGAACCAGACTACACTGGTTATGCTGCGTGTTTTTGATTCACTAAAAAAATACCTTACAAGAGTCACTCATTTGTGAGTCGGATCACACTGGTTGCTCTGAAATTTTTGGGATTCAATACAAAGAATCAATCATTTGTTCAGGAATTGGACTACGCTGGTTATGCTGTATGTTTCTGATTCACTAAAAGAACCAGCTCACAAGAATCATTCTTTTAGGAGTCGGACTACACTGGTTGTGCTTTATGTTATTGATTCACTGAAAAAGAACGGGGTCATAAGAGTCATTTGATCAGGAAATGGACTACACTACACTCTTAAAAATAAAGGTGCTTCACGATGCGATAGAAGAACCTTTTTGTCTAAATGGTTCCATAAAGAACCTTTAACATCTGAAGAACCTTTCTGTTTCACAAAAGGTCCTTTGTGGCGAAAAAAGATTCTTCAGATTATAAAAAGGTAAGAAAGAGATGGTTCTTTAAAAAACCTTTGACTGAATGGTTCTTTGTGGAACCAAAAATGAAGCACCTTTATTTTTAAGAGTGTAGTTAGGATGTATGTTTGTGATTCACTTAAAAAGGTTTATAAGAGTCATTCCTTCAGGAATCTGACTACACAGTCTGCGCTGAAAATATTTGATTCACTAAACCATTTTATAAGAGTCATTCATTCGGAAGTCGGACCTCATTGGTTGTGCTGTACATTTTTGATTGACTAAAAAGAACCAGTTTATAAGAATCATTCGTTGAGGAGTCGGACTACACGGGTCACGCTGTATGTTTTTGATTCACTAAAAAAGAACCAATTCAGAGCCAATTCTTCAAGAATCAGACTACACTGTTTACGCTGTATGTTTTTGATTCACTAAAAGGAACCGGCTTGTCATTGTTTCGTGCTGCATTTTCAGATCATAATAAACAATATAATTATTGTAATTATGTGTGCTACACACCACTAGGGTAGATCAGTATCTCCACAGGGCAGTCGTAGGTGTACTTGTCTGCCAGAGTGACCACAATGCTGGTGGCAGAGCGAGCTGAGGGGTCAGCGTCTGCACGGATGGCATGTGAGGGGCTTTCCACACCTGCACAAAGAAACTTCTAAAGCATCTAAAATAAGCAGGAGCAACAGACATTAGACCACATTTGAGGACTAAAACCTTCTGCAACTCCAGCAGGAATATGAACACTGCAAAACAACTAGTGTCCAATAATACAACTAAGCTATCAACGCATCAAACATCATTTGGGTACGCGTCCCAACTGAAATAACAAGCATATGCTGCATTTTACAATTTTTGCATTTGGCAGGCACTTTTATCCAACGCAATCTGCAGTGTATTTAAGATATACATGTTATCAGATATGAAAAGTCAGCACCTCAAACTATTAACATATCAAACATCATGTAAGCTATAGAAGGTTATCTGAATATATTTGACATTTATGCATTTGCTAGACATTTTAATCCAAATAAATCATTACATTTTCCATGCATTTATATTTATTTGTGTGTAAATAAATCATAAATCCCATGATCAGGGTTATAATATTAAATTCTAAAATACTAAGTTCTCATGCAAGAAGATGGGGGAACTGACCTGCCAGTAAATACGGTCCTCTGATCTCAAGATGGAAATTAAACTCATAGTCAATGGAGTTGATGGTCTCTTCCTCCAACATAGCAGCCAAACACACACCTGAGGCCATCTGCTCATGGGCTCCCACTGAACAATGATGCTGATCCCTCCTGAGACAAATCAGCAGGTAGAGAGTCAAACTTCATTTTTACCAGTATGATATGAAGTCAGTGGGGTCTGATGTTGTTTAATTTCCAATTTCCATGTTTAAAAAATTTAGTAAATTTAGTTTATTAAAAATTCTGCATGCAAATAAATGCAAGAAGGAAGACCAGTCGCAATTCAGTATGCAAATATCAGAACGATGTCAGAGATTTGTTATATGAACAACCAATATGTTTTTGATTCACGAAAGGAGCCGGCTCATAAGAGCCATTCATTTGGAAATCAGACTACACTGGTTGTCCTGTATTTTTTGACCCACTAAAAAAAACTGACTCATAAGAGTCATTTATTCAGGAATTGGACCACACTGGTTGTCCTGTCATTTTTTGATTCACTAAAAATAACTCGTTTATAAGAGTCCTTCGTTCGGGAAATGCAATTAAGTATGCAAATATTACACTATCAAACATGTCATTATAGGTAAATGGGAGCGTTTCAAACTTTAATCTTAAATTTCCTAAAAAGTATAATATTTACAAAACATGAAATAGGCAGAGCAGATAAAGCTGAAATGATCTACAAAACACAATATAGACTTTTAAATTGGAGATTGTATGTTAAAAAGTTCAGACTGAATATTAGAGGATTATAAATACAGTGTTTCCGTGTAAATACTATAATAACACTAATGAATCACACACCTCCTAGCAGTGCTTGGCGAAAATGCCTGCTCCTCTTTGACAGAACGCTGGACTCTCGGAGAGCAGACGGGTGGTGAGGTCACCCGAATTCCCCCTTTAGGGAGTGTGCGGAGCTCAGAGGAGGTGCTGACCAGTATATTAATGGTCTCCAGAGGGGGAATGACCCCCAGACTGACCACCAGCACTGTCCTCTCCTGATCCTCATCCAAAACGATATGTCCTGCAGCAAGAGAATTCATCAGTAAAGCCTCTGAAAGTCAACTTCAACAAAAAAAAAAACTTAATAAGATGTGTTAAAGGAATAGTTCACCCCAAAATTTTGAATTTGTGTAACATTTACTCACCCTCAGGCCATCCAAGATGTAGATGAGTTTGTTTCTTCATCTGAACAGATTTGGAGAAATTTAGCATTACATCACTTGCTCACCAATGCAGTGAATGGGTGCTATCAGAATGAGAGTCCAAACAGCTGATGAAAACATCACAATAATCCACAAGTAATCCACACATGTCCAGTCCATCAGTTAACATCTTGTGAAGAAGAAATATGTCATATGTGATATCGTTAAGACAATTTAAAATCATTGCTTCTGCTAAAATTCGAGTCCTCTACCTGTCTGAATCAGAACAGAAATATGCATAAATATAAATCAAGCAACCTTTACAAATGAAAACAGTCCAAAACAGTTCTAAACAAATATGTCAGTAGATTTTGATGTGAGAGGAAAACAGGGGATGGACTTTTTCCGCTGGAAGAAGCGCAATTAAGAATTATCGACTTAATTGTGGATTTGTTTCTTACAAACATGCAGCTTTTCACTTCACAAGATGTTAACTGATGGACTGGAGTGGTGTGGATTATTGTGATGTATTTATCAGCTGTTTAGACTCTAATTCTGACGGCACCCATTCACTGCAGAGCATCCATAGGTGAGCAAACGATGTAATGCTACGTTTCTCCAAATCTGTTCTGATGAAGAAACAAACTCTTGGATGGCCTGAGGGTGAGTAAATTTTCAGCAAATTTTTGGGTGAACTAATTTTTTAACTGGATTCAACAGACACCATGACAGGCCTTACGTTTAAACTCTGAATCAGGGATTAGTTACGTAAGATCTTTGATGAGCGTTATAAATGAGCATAAAATCTTACCACCTCCGTTCTGCGGGGTTCCATTGGCATTGCAGCAATCAAAGAAACAGTCTTCGATTTTCGTTTTATCTTTGACCTGCACGGTTATTATCTGACTGCCAATCATCGCTTCGAACCCAGCAACCACGCTGCCCTCATCCAGAGGGTATATAAAGATTCCTGCATGAATCACAGGATTACAGGCAAGCACAATAGCGATAGGCGATCTTTCCACAAAGCTAATTTTGCACTTGACAGAAATTAAATCCTTCGTTTTAGTGCTTTCAGCATTGACCAATGCAAAATCCAATCTGTTGGAGTCAATACGACACTGGAGACCGCAGAGCAGCAATCTGCCAGTGACATTTAGACTTCACACAAATAGTTGAGTTTGGCAAAGGAAAGTGTTTCTCTTTCCTTCATGGCATTTTGAAGTATTATTGTGATTATAAAGAGTTTGATGCATTTCATCCCAAATTGCTTTTGAGGATAAGAACCACAATTGTGGTTTTTGTCAAAAGTTGAAGAGGATAAGTGCTTTTGGACTAAATCAATATTTTATGACAAATCTGCAAAAAAATATGTACTGGGCCTGATGATGTATAGCATCTTTTAAGAATAATTTTAATTGGTGGATTCAATGACACAGTGGCAAGGGTTAATGCTGAAGTTTAGATTCAATCAATACTACACCCCAAAAATTATTTTGATCTAAATTTAAGATTTATGTATTTGAACTGCAAAATGTCCATCCACTTGGATTACAGTTTTAACATAAACTCATAAACTTCATTTAATGCATATTTGACTGTCGTGGCATAGTTTATTAACTATTTGCATCTATTAATCTGTTCATTGTGAAAACTAATTATTCAGTTTAAAGGTATGAACATACAGTTAGTTAAAATACTGTATGGCTAGCTGTAGAACCAGCCATATCCAATTAGTTCAAATGTATAAGACTGAAACAAATTGTATTTAATAATGCTAAATATACAGTATAAATCTGGTTATTGTGTATCACTGACAAATGTGCATCACATAATGTTTAACAGTTAGTTTATTTGGAAAACTGTGTAACCCAAATGGATGGAAATTACATAAATCTTAATTTTAGGCCTAAATCATTTTTTTATTATTATGTATAATAGTGATGACTTAGGAAGAGCCATTAACGATTGATATCATTTCAGAACTATCAGAAGTAATGCGCCTATTAGACAGCATACTCACCCTCAATAGGGTGATCTTCGATGTTTTCATAGGTCAAGGAGGCTGTCATTGCCAGGGTGTAACCCCTGACACAGGAACTGATGTCTGAGATGCTGAGAGGCAGAGCACTCCATTTGCTCTTGTTGATCAGGCCCAGCATGATGGTGGTTCTGTCCAGTACAGCTTCTCACAAGCAGAGAAGGGAGTGAGATGGGATGTTTCCCTAAAAACCCTAGATAACATTGATACCGTGTTTTACAATATATCTCGCAGAATGCCAATAAATAAATAAATAAATACCTACCTCTTAGGGGCCAGTCTATATTTATTTATAGTTTTGGACATACATTTATTTTTGTGAACAGTGTATAAATGTCCAGATAAAATATCTAAAGTAATGATTATTATTATTCATTGTGTTTTCTTGTTTTAAAGGGGTCATATGATGCGATTTCAAGTTTTCCTTTCTCTTTGGAGTGTTACAAGCTCTTGGTGCATAAAGAAGATAAGTTTTTTTATAAGTTTTTAATAAGTTTTTTTAACATTAAAGCATGTCAACATATTCTGTTACACCAAATACACAAAATAATGATCTTTAAAATAGCATCATATGAACACTTTAAGCAATAAAACAAGACATATCTTGCAGAATGTAAACAAATAAAAAAATTAACATAATAAACTCATACAGTATATTTATTAACCATGTTTGTTTATTTATTTATTTATTTATTGACATTCATTTACATTGTGAACAATGTCCAGATTGTCCATAAAATTAAATTAACATCCTTATAACGAGATACATTTACTTTTTAAAAATACCTATTATTATTATTATTATTATTATTATTTTATATTGCTTTTCTTGTTTAAGCATGAATCTAACATAATTTTGTGGTGTTAGTTTAAAAATAAACTTTCAAAATATATTCTCTGAAAACAAGTCACATGCAGTATTTTATGATATTTTGTTTCTCAAGTTAAATTTATCTTATTTTAAGGATGTTTATAAAAAAATTCAGATTAAGACAGACATAACCACAAATGTATTTTATCACATTAACTTTGGACATGTTCAGCTAAGGTTTGACCAATGACAACCATACAAACTGAGTGTGTTTGTGCACAAGAAGTGTGCAAATCTGTCCTTCAAATAAATGCCACCAGGTTCAATATTTCATATCTAATGCAGTGACATTCACAAATTTGAAGTATGGCTCAAGTGTCCAGTATTTCTGTGCCCAATGTAGCTGCACTCACATAAAAACAAGTCATTCATATTCACAGACGTCACACATCATAACTCATCACTGCCCTTATGCCTGTCGTATTAATGAAGAGGAGAAGACAACAGCATTACCCGGATGTCACTATGGTGTCCGAATGAAGACCTCTGACTGGTCCAACCCCCCTCCCCAGGTCTGCTACAGCATCATCAAAGGGAACAGAAACCTCTGGCATATCAAACACATGTAACAGATGCAGTGCTGATGTCACGACGAGTCAGTTTTTACCTGAGCTCAGCGCACAGAACTTCAGACTACAGGAATACAAAACCAGAACATTTATATGATACACATCAGCATCTGTGTCTCTCAGTTCCATTAATGGTTGTTCCAGAAAAAGCGATTATCATGATGTAATACTCAAATTAACTGGTTTTCAGAGCACAAATGAGATTGCTTTAGCTTTTCAATTGATTCTCTTGGACAGTAATGGAATTGAAATGGAAATCTAATGCGTCACAGATTTCTCTCCTTAGAAAAAGACACCAGTGCTCTCAGTCTAGCATTTCAGAAGAGATCTCTCTGAATAATATCTCAAACTCTGCTCAGATTTGCCAAAATGCAAAGTCACCAAATGAGCTCAATATGAGGTTTTTATCCACATTTGTTTCATAACTCTGTACTCATATGTTAACAGTTGCCTTGTTTGTATCTTTTTATTTCTACTAAGACATAAGAAGACATATCTGAGATGTTGACAAATAAATCATAACTGAAAACTCCATTAAGTTTCCTGAGGTTTGAACAAGCAGCCTCCGAACAATGAAAATTGAGAAAGAATTTGATTTTATGACATATATAAAATATTGCCATCGTTTCTCCTAAACAGCAGTGACAATGAAAGACTTTTGTTGAACCTGCGTCTCGGTTTTGTCTGAAAACCACAAAAGAGTTTTGGAAAAGATCTCAAAAATGCCTCACGCTGCTTATAAGTTTACAAAAACCAGAGATTTGAATATGAGCTCAAACATTTACTAAAATCTTTCCACAACCGTTAGTTATACTGTAGAGTAATATAAAATATTAGCTTGAGATATAATAATATATTATACTCTATCAACAAAAGTGTGGGGTCGTAAGATTTATGGCTTTGAAATTAGTTTCTTATATAAGGCTGCACTGATTTAATAAAAAATGTATTCCTGTGATGCAAAGCTGCCGGTCTTCAGAGTCACATGATCCTTCAAAAATCATTAATATGCTGATTTGATGCTCAAGAAACAAGTTGTGTTCTTATAAGCTTTGTTTAACATTAATATACTTTATATTATTTTGCCATCTCATTTGAATTAATTATAATGTAACAACATTCTATCAGCTGTCATCCACTTTAAAAATGGCATCAGGCATTGAAAAGCCCATATCAGTTGACTGTTAATGCTATTCATATGTCACTGTTTATTTTGTCTAATGAATTATAGGAGAAACACCTGTGATATGTTTCCCACCTATTTGCTATTACTCCGACAAACACAACTGAGAACTCCATTAAGTCTCTGAGCAAAAACAAAAGAAGAGAAAATGCAAACTGCATTTTCATGTAGCTCAAGACAGATATCAATCCTCTGATTTTCATCTGACTTGTTGAACTTCCACAGTGGGACAGTGTTTTGGAAATCTGACTTGATTCTCAGCCAATTCGGCCAAGATTTATGAGTAACTATTCTCAGAGGACATATATGTTTGAGATTAAACAGATCAAACAGATGCTTTCATCAAGGTGTCCACATGGCCATTTAACTCTCTCAGACACAGAGGAACACCACCCCCTCTCTAATAGATTATGGTTTGGCACGGTGCCGCGTGACGGGATGAGACTGGACAGATGAGTGCAATAGATTTCCCCCTCATCACACACGGCAAACCATTCAAACACTGCCATCATGTGTCCTGAGAGGAGCGGACATTTCAGCACAAAGCAAAGGGGTCAGTATCATCTTTAAACATGATATAACAAATGCTGAAGACATGCAGTTAACCAATGATATTAAAACCTTATTAAAAGTCTCTTATGCTCATCTAGGCTGCATGTATTTGATCAAAAATGTGACATATCATTATAATTAACAATAACTGTTTTTTTTAAAAAAATGCAATTTATTCCTGTGATGCAAAGCTGAATTTTCAGCATCATTACTCCAGTCTTCAGAGTCACATGATCCTTCAGAAATCATTCTAGTATGCTGATTTGCCGCTAAAGAAACATTTATAACAGATACTGAAGTCATGCAGGCAACCAATGACAAAAAACCTAAAAAATAATCATTCTTATGCTCACCAAGGCTGCATTTATTTGATCAAAATTGTGAAATGCTATTTTAATTTAAAAGAAGTGTTCTCTATAAGAATATCATTTAAAATGTAATTTATTCCCGTGATGCAAAGCTGAATTTTCAACAGTCATTACTCCAGTCTTGTGTATCCTTCAGAAATCATTCTAATATGCCAGTTTGCTGCTGAAGAAACATTTAGTACAGATAATGAAGTCATGCAGGTAAACAATGATGTTAAAACCACACAAATAATCATTTTAATATTTTAAATGACACTGGTAGAGCTGAAAGGGCAAGTTAAGGTCAAAATCAATTTCATTCTTAACAACAATATGATTTTGTTTGTCCTCAGCAAGGAATAAAAATGTAATTATGGTCTTCTTTCATATTCTATCCTAGGGGACCCCAGTTGAGATGAACCCAAAGTGACAGACAATAATCAACCCCAGCCTCCCATCCTCCCGGAGCAGCGGAGTGTGAATCACTCCCAAAGAAACAGACAAATCACCCACACAACACACTCCACGGCTGCCACCACACACACTGTGGGAGACACTGCACAGAAACAACCACCTGTTGATCCCGCATCTCCACCAAACTGACTACAGATGCATCACTTGCGGAAATCCCTCTTTGGTGCTTTGGAAACACTTCCCAAATTCACCTTGAATCTAAAACGAAATATTTCCTCTCAATCCTTTGACTTTAGTTCCTTGTGCACTTTTCTCAAAGCAGAACTCTTACCTCACATCTGCAGCGCTTGCAATTCTCTCTCGACGTCTGAATTAGTGAGGTCCAAAATATCACCAGGCTGCAACTCTGAAAAGCTCTCTGCCTCTTGGAGATGGACACAACAACTGAGCAGAACGAAGAACGGGAGGGAGGAACAGAGTGAGAGAGAGAACGACAGATATAGAAGCAGCTGGAGGAACATTAATGCAGTCAATCAGCGCAGCAACATGTGGTTATGAAGCTCAGAGCTGGAAACGAGAGCTTGTCCTGTGCAACAGATGAACACGAACCCCACCAGCCCCCTGCCAATGCTCAGTTCTCCCCTCTGCATCTGTACCACCCACCTACCCGCTCCTCCACCTCTCTGTCTCTCCGTAATCAGTGACGAGAGCCCATTCATGTATCCTATTTGACAGCCAGGGGTGCCACTGGCTGAAATGCAACACCAAGCACGGGGGGAACGAGGGGACGGTGAGAGATCATAGATCATGCAAAGGATTCAGATTGAGAATTTTGGTCTCACGTCCTTTTCTGTCCCGTTATCCGCCACTTTTGTCTTCCCATCATTCACGTTTTTCCCTCCAGTGACTGCTAAGCTCACTATCTTGATTTCAATAGGACAGGAATGGTTTTTTTTTCTGAATGCATTTTGTGGCCGTGGCGTGTGTGATTGATCTGGTTTTGCAGAGGACGTAACCATGACAATCAATATGGAGCCTCCAGGGCTTTTTAAAAGACAACAGGTTGGTTGGAGAAAGTGTGTGTGTGTGTGTGTGTGTGTGTTTAGTGATGTGCTGCCTTGGCTAAAACCTCAGCTTCTGTTTTTCAATTAAATTAACATGTGCTATTTACTGTCTCTCTTTCCCTCTTGCTCGCTCGCTCTCGGTGAATGTCTCTTATCTCATCTGCTGGGATTTACTGAGGGCTGCAGCAGTTGCTGATTATTTCATCTGCAATAAAGAAGAAAATATATCAAATTTAACTTCCAAAAGCTATGAATGGAAGTCATAAATATCAGCTACACAATCTTTTTAAATAAAGATTCTTTGAATATACACATTCAATTCACAATTATGATGAAATTCTGAATTTTCTGTATGAGAAAGCAGGCAAAAACAAATAAAACCATATAGCCTGTAATGCAAAATGGACTTTTGAGACAAATGCAAGATTGCATATGATAGAAAAATGACCCCAAGCACCTTTTATTCTATCACTCTTAACCCAGGTGGCAGGTTGAAGCATTATGACTTTCTTAGGTTTATGAGAACAAACATGGTCCAAACAGGATACATCTCTTTGTTGTATTAATCAATCTCTAAAAGCATCTTTTAAATTAATAAATGTACCAAAAGCACATGGCACCTTAATAGTGTAACATAGGGTTAAAGCGTCATTACGATCTGTAAACTGGGTTTTAATTAGGTCAGAAGAAGATTTTAAATATTTTATTGGAAAATGTTGTTATCATTATTCTTACACAGTAACCATAATTTAACTTTGGTATTTCTAGTAAGAGCATAGTAACCAAAGACAAAAACAAGCATGGCTCTTTATTACCAAGATTACATCAACTATGGTTTCCTATATGATGCTACTCAAGTATGAAGGACTCAAGAAATGTGTGGCCATAACACATTGTGTCATTATGTTTATGCATTCCCTCTCCTGTTTAGTATGCAAGTACTACCTCTTCCAAAATACCATATTACTTCTATGTGTTACACGGTGTTAAAGTTGGGATTTTATATTATTTTTATTTTGTTTTTATTTAGGATCCTTAAATACTTTTTTCATATAAATACATTTTTCAAGTAAAAAGTGATCATATTCAGGGGAGATTGGGCAAGTTGTAACACTTTTTTTTTACTACAATGAACATTTCTCAGGTGTATTTAAAAAAATCAAATTTTCAACAATTTTCCCTTATTGCACTGGAAAAAGATATTGTTTACACAAACGAAGCATGTTGTCACACTTACAGAAAATGAGACAAATGGCAATATTTGTCTGCACTAATGGCTTATTATAAAAATATACTAACTTACTGTAGCATTTAATTGGTTTAAACTAAAACCCATATACTTACACATGAAATTGAAAACTGGAACTGAGTGTCCTGTGCTAACTTCCGGCCGGACAGCGTTGTGTGCGCATTCTCGCGAAGCTAAGTCGAGTGAAGTGGCCAGCCCATCTGAAGACTTATCAAGGCCGCTTAATAGTTCACATATCTGCGACTGAAGCCATGTCAACCGACTCGTGGGCTCTATCTGTGGACGATCAAGAGTCTACAGCCAAGTCTGTGAGTGAAAATGTGGTTTAATTGTGTTGTAACGGATTAGCGCACTAGTTGCGTTGAGTCAGGCGCTGGCTGCGTCTCAAACCAACCCTAGTGAGCTGCCTACCTAGACAGCATTTCTGGATGTCAAAGGAGTGTTTGAAACGTCCAAACAAGGTTTTGGCCATCAAAATGCGTTTTAACTTAGTTTTAAGACACGGCCTGTATGAGGTTTTATTTTAAGATCAGTTTTAGCAAACATATCTGCTTCATTTAAATCATTGACTTTTGTTTAATCCGCTTAAGACGTTACTGTTGACACTCTTCATTTGTGAATGTTCATTATTGGGTATTGACTCTATGCAGTGCATTTAAATGGATTAAAACTGTAAATTCTGTTGTTTGAAAACAGATTGGGAAATTGCGGATTAAGGAAGCGGGAGATGCAAATATACGCCAGCCTGATGGTACTCATGTTTTACATTATTATATTGCATTAAAGCAGTAGCTCACCCATAATTTAATGTTATGTGGTTCCAAACCTGTGTGACTTGTGTGGAACACAAAAGGAGAAACTTGATTGATTTTACATCAAAAATGATGCAAAAGTACTATAAAGTGTCATTATAAGCAACCCTCAATGGACACCTTGGCAATTGAATCGCCATTGGCTAGTGTATTTTTTTTTTTTTTGTTTACTCGCCAGACTGAAATACTATACAATATATATATATATAAAAGTTATGCCATTTTACAAACATATATAATGTTTGTAAAATGGTACAGCTTTTTAAATATCTGAAAGTACACTCTTAACAATTGAATCGCCATTGGCTAGTGTATTTTTTTTTGTTTTGTTTACTCGCCAGACTGAAATACTATACAATATATATATATATATATATAAAAGTTATGCCATTTTACAAACATATATAATGTTTGTAAAATGGTACAGCTTTTTAAATATCTTAAAGTACACTCTTAATATCAGTCAGTCAAGCATTATACTTTGATAATCAAGTAATATTTTAATAATAGAAGTTTAGTAATTAGAATTAAAACTTGGTAGCCATGAACTTAGGACTGGTGCTGGTGCTTTTTTTGGTCATTCAGTGTTCCTGTAAAAAAAAACGAACAATAACTTTTTTTTAAATTATTATACGAATTCTACTAATAAGAACAATATAAAAACGCACTAAGGATTAATGAGCTGCTGGATTCATGAATATTAATCAGGTTATGTGCGTTTGCTCGAACTGATTCGCTGAAATCAAAACAGGGATGATAATA